CGGAAGCAGACTAGAAGTACTTCTGGTCCACTTCTGGGTCCACCGGGAAGCGTGCTGCTCCCCCTGGCTTGGTGATCAGCCTCAGGGGGACCCCAGGTGCCCCCCCAAACCCAGGAGGCACCAATCATGGAGCCAGGTGGGGACCCCTCTGCTTGCTCTCCAGCAGACCCAGATGTGGACCGGAAGTGCTTCTGGTCCACTTCTGGGTCTGCTGCTGAGCACACCAGGGAGCCCCCTGCACTTCTGTGGGACACTCCATGCGCTCCAGCATCACAGCATTCACAGGCCACCTGGTACTTTGAGGCATGTAGAAAAAACATTTAAAAGCTGTCTCTATCTCTGAATCACCCAATCTTTCTGAAATTCTCCAAATCTATTCGGAGGGTTCCGATTTGATTCGGAGAGATTAAAAGGGTCCTCCAATTCGAATTGGATTCGGAGATTCAGCCACCAAATCAGGCCGAATCTCCACCAAGTCAAATCAGGGACCAAAGCTTCGCACAGTCCTAGATTCCACCTTTTTAGGTACTAAAGAACCCCCCCCACACACATACACGTAACTGTGGCATTACAGCACCACTTTTGGAAGCCATATCCTTTTTCTAAAAAAAAGCTGGAAATTAAGGGCATTTATACATGTGCTCCAGGAGGTGGGGGGGGGGGGCACTTTAATTAATGCAGCTCCAAGAGCTGCGCTAATTAGAAGTGCCCCCAGCATTGTGTGCATCAGCATTCCCACACTAAAAAATGGCAGCAGGGTGCTTTAAACTAAAGCTTGTTCAAGTTTTAGTGTCCCACTGCCATTTTTCAGCACAGGGACACCGATACACATGACACTGGAGCCTGCTAGAGAGCGGCAATTAGCACACTTCAGCAGACTCAATTAATTGAGTCTGCTCCTACGCGCTGCAATTACTGCGCGCTCCTCCCTGCACATGTATAGGAGCCCTAAGACATAAGTTGAGAGAAAATACGTGCATGAGCAAGCACAGGGGAGCAAAGTGACACAAGGCTTAAAACAACAACCTCACCCCAAGCACATTCTTACAAAACGCTTTGTTTCACAAGGTTATTTATTTCCCCAATTCTTTCCTTGGGGCTCAAGGGCTGTTTTTCTTTCAGTTTTTGGAGCCATGTGCTTAGATATAGCTGCTCAGCTCTTATTAATGAAACAGATGAGGTACCAAAATCTCGATATTCCATCTTTAAAATTTACACCCACAGCCATCTCTGCATTTTTTCCAAGGCAAAAATAAAATTATAACACTTTATAAAGTGCTATAAAGTATTTCACAAATGAACTGTAAAGGAGTGCAACCTGTAACTAAAAATCAAACTAGATTTCCCAGGCTCAAGTCTGTGGACACTGTTGAACACTTTCAAACTCTGATTTCTCTACAGCCAGAGCAGAACGTTCAGACAAGAACTGGCTCCAAGTGAGCAGCACCACAGACTAACAACTTGCTTCAGCTGCAAACCAAATGCAGAAAAGTTTACCAAAATATAAAACAAGTCTCCTAATAGCAAGCCACAGAGGATACAGAATATTAGAGCAGTAAGATGAGGACAAGGCACACAAATGTGAGGTTCCCAGAAAACTCATTGTGACCATACTCAGATTTTCTACTAAAACGTGCACGCTGATCGTATTTTGTCTACAGCAGAATTCACATCATGTTTTTCTCCTCTCACATTTATATTTTTAATGCAAGAAAATATTGCACCATCTACAAAAAAGGTCATAGGTAGGTAACCATAATGCTTTTTTTAATTAGAGTTGTAATGCTCTGCTGAATTCTCTCAGACAAAATAATGTGTTAAATAGAAGAGAGAGTGACACTATATTCTGTTAACTAAAAAGAGGGGGAGAAAAAGGCCTACCAAATCATTGAGTCAGGATTCATCTGCTAAAAGCTGGAAAATTAAGTGATTAGTGATTACTACACAATGTGCCAATAGCAACAATACCCTAAACAGGTTTGTTAATTAGCTCACTTGTGGTTAGCCTGCATAAAAGTCAACTTTAAATGCAGCCTATTACTGGGAATAATGCATTAATGCCTCATAATTAGTGCTAGCTAATTCCTCACCCTTCTCCAATATGAAAATAAAAAGCCAATCATTTTTACTGCATTACGATGTTCATATTGGTCTTCAGTTTCCAACTTGGGGTGAATATCCAGTTGTGCAGGTCACAAACAATACCCAAAAGCCAATGTATTCTTCAAGACCTTTAGAAGAAAGGGGAATTGGTAGGAAAGCGTTATGCATACATTGCGTTCTATTAATCAGTCGCAGTTGGAGAAGTGGCAACGGAGACAAATCTACTCCCTACTGTGCACTCCTTGTTCTGATTCACCAAATGTGGCCAAAGACTTTCCCACCTTAGGACAGAATATTGCTGAATGACCCACCTGGGTCACTTCCATCAATTCCACCAAAAAGCAGTAACTGGTTCTTGAAGGTCTATATTCTCTCATCAGCATGATCAGTAGGTGTAAGGAAAGGGATGAAAAGGAGAACAGGAATATATAACACTAAAGACCCATGAAGCTCAGGAGGCATTAGGAGTTCAATGAACCCCCTCACTCCTGCACAGAAAAAACCCCAAACTCTTTAACTTGGAATGAAGGAATATAAAGGCAAATCAGAGCTCCTGGAGAGACAAAGCTTTGTCTATGCAGTGCATAGACTGTGTTAAGTAAATAAAAAGGCCAGTAGGCCAACATACAGAAGAAAGGAAAAGTATCACCTGAAGTTTGTCATGCTGTCTAGAGAATATGCAGTAGAACCTGGGATCATTCATGTCTGGCTGATTCGCACCCTGTTCAGTTCACAGTAGCTTGCTGAATTAAGGATGAACTACTCAGCTATTGGCTGCTTCCCCCCTCATCGGAGTTTAGCAGTAATCTGTGATAAGAGCAGCAGTGCCTAGAGAAACCCTAAATTACAGGAAACAGCTAGATCATCTCACCAATCTCATGCAGCCAAGATACCCATATCAGTTCAAGGGGTAAGGAATCTGACCTACAAAGCATCTGGGTTCTGTTGTACAAAACCACTGGCCGGATAGTACAGAGTGAGGTGGAGCCTAATGGTTGAAAATTAAAACTTACATAAAGAGAGTGGTTTCAGTTCCCTTGGCATCTACAAAGGTTTAACTTCAGCATCTGCCTCAGCACAGGGCATTCCAGCAAGAAAGGAAGGAACAGAGGCAGTGGAAGCAGCCTCCTTTGGCACAGAGGGCCTGGCTGAGGCAGGTAGATGCAGCTCACCTATCCTTACACTCTAATCTGGCCTATTGGCTCAAACATAACAATAGCATTAGTTCTCCAGCACCCTGAACACCAACTCTTCCAAACAAAGAAAGAATAAGACAAGTTTTTGCAAAAGTCCTGGGATCACCTTAAAAATCCTAAAGAAATTCTCCTTAAAAATCCCCTGGAGATCAGAAGCACAAACTGTGCAAACCTCATAACTACCTGGGCAAATGAAACTTAGTGTCAGCACTGCCCCTCCCCCTCCACGCCTTATGGTGAGATGATTCATCAATTTAAGGAACATCTGCCTGAGTTAGAACAAATTGCAATAGGCCTGCAGCATCTCAATGCTAATTACTCAGTGTAAACATTTGGAAGCTGACAGCTCAGACCAATGCCTTTTCCTCCACCAAACGGGCTTCATCCTGCCCTGGAGTGAAAGGCTCTCGCGACAAAGGGGATGCTAATCCAGGCTCTGCAAGAGCTCTGCTCTGAACCTATTTCAAGCCCCAAATGAGAAATGCTGTGCTGGTCAGCAGCTGAGACATTAAGTTCCTTTCCATTCAGAGACAGTTTGTCTCCAGTCCTGGTGCCAGAGTTAAAAGGGTTTAAATTTACAGAGGTTCTGTAGAATAAACCTAGGGCTTGATTCCACATTTCTGGTGTGCCCAAATGCCCACCGCTAACAGCTAGAAATTTAGCCAGAAGTGGTTATGAGACCCAACAACGGCCCAGGGGATACACCATGCCCTATTTCATTTCTGGCTAGAGAATTTATGAGCCCTATTTCATTTCTGGCTGCTGCAAGTATGAGGGACAGGCGGCTCCCCCTTCCCAGTCACCCACCACAATGTAAATTTCTCATAATACATCATTTGGGTTTTAAATTGATGACATGAATTAAACTGGATCAATTGCACCTATGCAGCTCCAGAGAGATTCCCACAAAAACCACAACGTTGCGACACGGCAGAAAGCACACAGCAGATCTATAAACCCTCCGACAGGGAGTCGCCTCAACTTTCTGAATTTGCTTGACACAACAGATAAAAAGCCCTTTTGGAAAAAAAAACAGCACCCCAGCCAAAAAAAATTTGTTTTTTAAATCATCTCCCCACATGCATTTGTTTGTCTCCACACCCAGAAAACCCTTACAACCAGCCATACCATACCGCCAGCTGTTGGGGGAAATGGGGGTTCCATTACTCTATTAAGCTGCAAATGCTCAAAAAAAAAAAAAAAAAAAAAAAAGCCCAGGAGTTTCTCTTTCATTTTTTGCTCTTCTTAGGCAGTTTCCTGCAGATAATGAGAAAGTTTCAAGAAAATGTAAACAATTTTGCCCCCAAGCCAGTCTGGGCTTCAGCAGATCCTCTTCTTTTGGGAAAACCATACAAATCATTTATGTTGTTAAAAAAGTACATGGTATTTTAAAAAGAATCAGAAGTCACTTGATCATCAAAACCCATCTGAAAATGTCCGTCTAAGAACAAATAACTGGCAATGGTGGTAGCAATAATGCATTGGAAGCAAAAAAAAATAGTATACTAACTAGAAGGCTGAAGTCAATGTATTCATAAGTGCATAAAGAAGTCCCTGCAAAGAGACTTAGATGCCAATTTGTATCCAAGGTTTGCTAATTTTAGTGCTTTACTTTTGGGTTCATGCTATGAAATGCTGAACCCTACCAACTCTTATAAGGCTGAAAGAAGCTGAGGTCTCAGCATCTCACAGGATCAAGCCCTTTTCTCCTTCCCTTTCATCCATACCTCTCATATTAAAAAAATATTCCAGTTCAAACTCTCCTCTGTTACAGGAGTCCAACACGATTGAAACCAATGGGCTGGAGCAGTGTAGCAGAAAGAACAGTTTGGTCTGTATGCATTATTTCTGCTGTCTGCAGTACTGCACTGTTTGGTGATGTTCCTGCATAATCCAAAATTATTATTACATGAGCCATGGTCCAAACAGTCTGTGGGGTGGGGACTGTGTATCATAGCTGTTGATTAGTGAAGAAGACTTTTGTCTCCCCGCAGACAGGATTTACACAAAGTGGACAACGGAGGGTTAATTGCTTGGAGCATATTTCATTTGACTGGATATGTGAATAGACCAAGTCTGCGAGTGCCTAAAAAAAACAAACAAACAAAAAAAACACGAGAATATTAAAAAGCAAAAAAGAATAAGCTGGCTGCAAAAAGAAAAAAAAAAAAAAAGAAAAACAACTCCCTCCACTCCTGCCCACAAACCCACAACGTATTACCAAACTAACTTATTAGCCAGACCAAAAGCTATAATGTGAAAATGGTTTTTAAGCATTATTCATATACAATTTTATCAAAGCAAAAATTAAGATTAGTTAAAAGTGACAAAGAAAAGTAGTTATCCTCCGTAGACTATAAGGTATAAGAATTCCATGTCTATTTTCAAAGTTAACAGCATGGTAGGAAACCCATAATCTTCTGAAGCTTTCCAGAGGATTACTCTGTAATAACAATAGTAACAGCAATCAGAACAATCTGAATACCTTGGAAAACAATGGATTTCCATTAAGGGACTCAGCTCTTCTGATGTTCTCAACTCCACACTGTATCAAAACAAAGGAAGAAAAAGAAAGTAACATTTGATAGGAAAAAAAAATCTGCAGTTCTCAGAGACATCACTTCTATATCATTTAGAAGCTGCCCCTAAAATTAATATATTAAACTCAATAACTTTTTTCTACATTTTGAATCCTAGTTTACAGATGAAGATACAAACCATTTACCTTGAAAAGTTAAAATACAAAATGGTCTAATTATACACTCAGTTTTACTTTACTGAAATATGTTACTTTTTTTTTTTTAAACCAGTTCAGATTAAGTCTTGATTCACACCAGAAGAGAACTGGGCCAAAACCACTGAAGTGTAAAAACAGAGCTAGAGAGAAAAAAAATGAATTCGGGAGCAAATCTGCCCAAGAAGTTATGAGCACTGTCATGGGCTTACCTCATTAGCTACACCTTGTGCATATTCAATATCCAGTTCATAGAGTGTTTCAATGTGGTCACTAGTAAATGCTATTGGAACCAACAAAATATTCTTCTTTCCCCTTTCACAGAGTCCTTTAATAGCTTCATCTGTCGGTGGACCAAGCCACGGCATTGGTCCTACCTATAAAAAAAAGGGAGGAGAAAAAAAAGCCTCAGAAATTGATCAAACTCATTTCTACAAAAAGATGTTCTTACCTTAAACCAGACTGCAAGGGCATAATTTTAATTAAACAATCAAATTAATCCATTCCTTGTTTTTTATAACAGTATTTCCCCCACTCCAACTCCTACATTTTTATGAAGATTACAAACCCCTCTATTCTAGCTCTAACACTACCATTCTGACAAGGAGGTTGTATTTACCCAAAGTAAGCCACACGTGCAAGTCAGGGTGGATTTTATTGTTTTTATTTTAACTGGGCCATTTCCCTGGGGGGAGGGGGTTTGGTTATAAAACAAGTTTATTTTGTTTTCAGTTCTACTAAAAGACTGCAGCTTTGCACAAAAGTAACCTGCCTTGGAAGGATTTGACCATTCTCAGAGTAAGTTGTAGCATCCCTTTAAATCCAAGCAATATCTGATACTAGGTCACCATAATAAACTGACTTGCTACTTCCTGGCTTTAAAACAAACCTTTGCCTCCCTAAAACGTAACTTATTTGAAAAACATAAGTTAATGCCGCTACAAAATTCTGATGAGGATTAAAGTTCCTTGATATCAGATAGAGTTTGAAGCAGTCACGTATTCAGGAAAAATAAAATAAAATAAAAATAAATCAACCTGCTTTGCACTACCTACCCAAAAAATGAAGCTTGCATGGATTAGCCCCTAGCACTTATAGTGCATATTATCATATAAGATACTTTGGACAGAAATTTGAGCAAGCATCACATAATAGTTTCTACCTCCTGATAAGAAAAATATCCACCACCTGATGATATTATTACTACTACTACTACTACTACTATGTGCTGAAGTGTCTGGATCTATGATAAAAATCTATGGAGATAATGCATTAATACTTGTGAGCAACATGAGCTTTAAGTGGCTCTGGAATAGTTACAAAAGACAAAACCAAAGACCCCAAAAGTGACAAACTATAGTAACAGAGATGCTTCTTGAAAGCAAGAGAAACAGGATGAGACTTGCACAAAGTTTTGGGAAAAAGATCCTCCTAAATATCGATGACTAAGGGCCAGGTGGCATTGCAATCTGTTAACTTACTTTGGACTGCCAAACAAGCCTGTAAGGGTTGGAATAGTTCAGCTTCTCCATGACTTTTTGGACAGTAGCTCCCACCTCTTGAGGGTATGGATCACCGCGGTTCACAACCTGCGACACAGAAATATCAACCTTGCATTCTCTGAGTGAAAGTTCCCTCTTTCTAATGTACAAGGTACCTCTGAAAACTGGTTTAAAAATATTAGTTCAAAGGAACAAAATGTGTTCAGAAGACAAAGGCCATATATATAATCCTAGAGGTGCAGTACACAGAAAACATTACATATACCTCAAAGAACACAACTCTGAATTACGCATTGAATTATTTTACTGGAATTTCAAAATTACAGTGAAAGAGAATAGGTTTAGTTGGCTACTGTAAAGAATACTTACTTCTCCCCTAGTGATTTGATACAAATTTTTCAAGCTGCTTAAGTCACAAGTTGTTCTCTTTCAGTTAGTTAAGTAATTTGCACATTGCACACAGTGCACATACATAGTTATTTCCCAGAGGATCTCATAGTACATTACATATAAAAATCTGTAATATGCTTTGAGATTGATAATTAAGTTTTATCATCTATAAAATAGAGGCACAGGGAATATGTATGACTTGCCACCATCACCAGGTTTTCCATCTTATTCCCATCAGTGCCCAATGACTTCATGGATGGCCAACAGGATGAGGGTTGCCAGTTCTTAATGGTCTAGGTAAAAATCAAAGTAGAATCCTCTTGCTTTTGTTTCCCTTGGTCATTCTGCAAAGAATATGTAGGAGAATCGGGGCTGGGAGTCAGTACTCCTGGGTTCTATCCCAGGCCCAGCCACTGAACAAGTGTGTCCTTGAAGAAATCATTTCATTGCTCTGTACCAATACTTTCCTTTGTCTGTCTCAGCTGTTTATGCTGCAAGCTCCTGTGGGAAGGAACTGTTTCTCACTAAAAGTTTATTCAGTACATAGCACAAAGGATGCCAGATCTTGGGCCTCTAGGCACTACCCTAATACAAATAATTTCTCCAATGTCCCAAAATGTCTTTTGCTGTTTACCACTAGATGGCAGCATATTCCTACGAACTTGATTTTTAGGGCTAAGAAACAGCAGAATAAATGTCCACAGATTACACTTTAGCTCTGACACCCACCAGGATGGCTTTAGAATAGTGAATGCAGTTTAAACCCCACCACCTGCTTGTGACAGCTTCCCCTTACTTGAAGTGACAACAAAGTCCCAACACTATTTAGTTTTGTCAGGCGAGACTAGTTTCTTCACTACCATGTGGTTGATGCATACAATATGAACCCAGACAAGGTTCTTTGGGTAAATCTTCTATTAGATCAACTCAAATAGTTCGAAAAATTCTTCTTAACAAGGTTTTGGGTACAAATACCCTTTGTCAGGCTGAGGAAGTGTCTGCAGCTGATGTGTACTCTTCCTGGATGGAATGAATAGTAAAGAAGAGGAGCACACACCAACTGCAGATGCTTCCTCAGCCTGATGAAGGGTATGTGTACCCACAAGCTTGCCAAGAAGAATTTTTCCAACTATTTAAGCTGGTCTAATAAAAGATATCAGATTGACTCAAAGAACCTTGTCTGCCTATGTCCTTAGACCAACACAGCTACAACCTATACCCCTACAATATGAAGTGGGATTTCAGAAAAGATACAAAAATGCACACTTTGAACATAAAGCAAAGAAGTTCAAGGTATGAAGAAGCCACTAGAAAGAGAAAAAAAAGGAATTACATTGGCTGAACAGGCTTTTGAGAATTTCTGCTACCGCGGTGAACTTGTGGCTATAAACATGGGTATTTGCGGCAACAGCTAAAAACTACTCAAAGTAGACAAGACCCAAAGATGAAGCATGTCACAAAGCATATGACAAAACTATGAAAATCCTGGCCTAGAAAGTATTATTGTTCAAAGTGTTTTCTAATTGACATGGATAGAAAAGAGACTTATAAGAAATACTGTAGCAAAACTGTGTATCCTTCAAACACAGATAGATGCTATAGCTTCAACTGGTATAAAAAAAAAAAATGCCATTTGGGCATCACATTCTTTTGAAAAAAAAAAAAACCTGTAAGAAACCACTGCATTTAAGCTGATACTCATAGTCCACTGCATTCAAGTCACCCACTCTTAATGGGCTAATAGAACCATACAAAGGTTCTAGTTCAATTCCTCTATGGCAGTGATTCTCAACCAGGGTGTAGAGAGAGGCTCTGAAGGGTGTTGGGAGGTGTTAGGAAATAAGCAGAAAAGTGCAGTCTCAGGCCCTGCCTGACCATTCCCCTATCCCTACTACCTAGCCCCCTGCAAGAAGGTAAGCAGTGTAATAAACTAGCTTTTGAAATGGGATGCCATGCAATTCACAAGTTAAAGTCATGCTTTGAGTCTACCCAGAGATGCCTTGGGTCTAAAACAGGGACTGGCAAAATACAGCCTGCAAGTCAGATCTGGCCCATTCTGTCTGGCCTGAGGAGCCCTTAAAAAATTTAGTAAATTAATATTTATTTTCCCCGGCTCCCTCTCAAAGCTGGCTGGAGACAGGGGCAGTAGGACCCAGAGGGAGCACTTACCAGGTTTGCAGGCTTGAGCAGCCCAGTCCCACCCACCTCCACCCAGTTCCCTGCTTTCCTGCCCTTGCCCTGCTCCAGCACCACCTGGCTGTGGCTCCGGGCTGTATCCCCGGACTGCGGAGCATGGGATTGCGCTGGTAGGGGTATGTATGTGTGCATGTGCATGTGGGCAGGCACAGGGGTAGAGTATGTGCATGTATGCAGGCACAGAAGTAGTGAGTGTTCATTCATAGGGCGAGTCCTACATGCACACCCCTCCATAAACATGCACCTACACCTCCCCTCGCACTGCCATACATACACCCCACCCCAGCCATCCTCCCCCCCACATCCACAGCCCCCAAAAACCTAAATCCACCCCCCCACAATATACAAGAATAAGACTTCATTTTAAACTATTGTACAGTCACCTCTGCGTACATTACACAAACATGTAAATCAGGACAAACATTTTTTTAAAATCAAATTAATGAATGTTGTAGATGATCACTTTTTCTGCTTCTGAGATGGCAAAACCCCTTGCTGAAAGGAGTATTTCCGGAGGCAAGGGGAGGGACTTCTGGTGGCAAAGGACAGGGGTTAGAGGGTGGTGCTTCTGGTCACAAGATGGTGACCAGGGTGCGGGGCACCTGTCAAGGGGCAGGGCTACCTATGTGGCCCTTGACAGCTTGCCAAAACTCGGTAAGCAGCCCTCCAGCTGAAATAATTGCCTGCCCCGGTCTAAAAGTTTAAAACCACTGCTCTAAAGAAGAGTGATTTTTTCTGAAAAAATGAGAAAATACACTTTCCTTTCTCCCCACCCACCCACAGATATCACCATTTCAAAGCACTGAACATATGAGTGGGTTCTGTGTCATGGCAGGTGTGTGTAGCAGTACAAGGCTCATCTACAAGTGCCACACTACTCTAATCTCTCAGCTGTGTTGGCGATATAGTCCGTCAGACCCATAGGGTGATCCTGAAGATTAACACCATGAGCTGCAACTCCATGTTACTTACAGACATTGGAAGTGAGTGAGCTGAGAAAAGAATCACAACTTCTTTCCTTTTCTCTGGTGGGAACAGATCCAGTTCTTTCTGTATGTGGTCTGCAAAGCACTGTTAAACAAAAAGAAAGACAGAAGATATACAACAGTCTGCTGAAAGACACCAGTCTGTTGAAGGGAACATACATAAATTGCCTGGGGCCCAGCTTCTTTGCTCTAGGCCATCATATAAACTTCTAATGATACTGCAAAATATTCTCTTTTTAGTAGACAGCCTAAGTGAGAGTTTGAGCAGTAGTGCTTAAAGTAAAATACTCATTGAATAATGAACAATAGCACCTAATCCAAAACCCAAGTCAGTGCAAAGGCTCTGGATGAACTCTGCATCAGCCCCCTAGTATTTCAGTTATGTAGACAAATTGAATATTATACAGCAAACTGATAGATCTTTCCTCAAATATCATCAGCCAAGCTGCTGACAGAGAGAGCGTTGAATAAAGAGAGAGCGTACCCTAGTGGGTGACAAACTAGGAATCGGCTGAAGCAATATGGAGAACATTCCAGAGACAAGCACCCATCCTTCAGAATGCTCAGCTCCCCGAGCTGTTTATCCAGTCTCAAAGTGAGAGAAGAATGTCATGGGATGACAAATTATTTCAGTTAAGCAAGGCCTGAAAAAAAGTTCCTGTTCTCCCATGAAAGATAAAAGTAACAAGTTCTGGCCTAAGATTCATACCAATGACTGAAAAGGCCTGGTGTTACAGAGACATGGCTGGATAGTAAGGAACTATAAAGAATGGAAAAGATGCTGTCTCAATGGCTTATGCATGGTGAATTCCTGTTCTAAGGGTAGAGTCAGGGGCTGATCCAGCACTTTACTGAGTCTCCCAGGGGGTTGGAGAAACACAAGTTGGTTGGCTTACAAAAAATGTACATATACACATACAGTCGTTCTAATGGACAGCACCATTCATGAACTCCACTGAGGTACTTCAGTGGATGAAAGAGGGACACCTCCAAAGGGTGAGACCCCCAATCTGACATACAGACAACTATCATGAGGAGTCCTTGGCTTTGCAGACTGTTTTCTTTTCTTGCTCTTGTCCAGGGTATGATTGAGGGAAACAGAGAAAACAACCCAAAACTAAAACTAAAAACACCAAAAAATAAACATGAAAACAAGCTCAAAGGCAAAGAAGAATAGCTCCTGCTCCACTTCCTCAAACTCCTCCAATGTCTCTCACCTGAAAAGGGGGCATTCTCAAAAAAAAAACCAAAAAACAAAAAAACCATTACAGAATGCCTCTAATATTAAGCAGTTCTGTTGCAACTGCTTTTGAGGCCAGGTACCCACCTCTCAGAGGCATTCCACTTTTTTAAAGCTAAAAATGTCTCCTTCCACAGTCAAATTCTCCAACTTTCTGAAGGCTGTCCTGATGTTGCTATCATGGAAGTCAATAGGAAAGGCCAATATCCATGAATTCCAACTACACTGCCTGCCTCCTATTATTTAGACATGGCACATCAGAAACTTGAGTATTGTGAACCACAATCAAAATGAAATATTCCTTTTCTTCTAAAAAAATTTTTTAAACTTTGAAACAAATCTAAATCTGGATATAAGGCAGTGTCTATCTAGCATATAAATTCAGCATATTCCAAAACTAAGAAGCTTGCATTTTGTTAGAAATTGAGACTTAATGAAAAACATTTTTTTCATATTTCTCTTCTGCACTTCTTATTGGAAATGTATCAATGCCTTAAAGGAACAATATATATCCAGAAAGAAAAAACAACTTGGCATAAGTATTTTCTTTATTGGAACACATATTCATTCAAGCTGGCAAAGCAAAGAAATTGCTTGAAATTCTATTTTCCTGTATTCATCCAATTCAAGTCAAGCATCCAGCTGTTTAAATTTACACAGACAGAGACACACACACACACACACACACACACACGTAAAAGGAGGCATGTTATACAACAATCGTTTGACACTGTTGTCCAGCCAGACTGCAACCAAAATCCTTGAATTCTGGCAGCAATCTTAAAATAAACCAAAATGACAAGGGATGATGCCATAGCTGTCTCTGAATGGATCCATGTTCAATCTTTCCAGTTAACAAGCAAAGGATTTAACTGATGGCAAGCAATAATTTGCAAGCAAATGCATACCTGAATGAGAAGGGGATGTGTAGGCCACCTGTCAATAATGCTCCATTTCATCTTTGGCTTCTCCCCCTTTTTATTATAGTACCGATAAATGGCATTTAAGCTGCTTCCTGAAACACAAAGATTTCAGACATTAGCAGGAACTTTTTAGCTGTATGCTCAGCCAAAATATGAAAGAATATAAAACATTACAGACAAAAATACTTCGATGGCAAACTATTTCAATATGCTAAATGACTGCATATTCAGACACTTATTAAGAGATCAGTCATTTGTGCTATGAAAACTCAAGATACCTAGAGAAATGTTTTTTAAGGAGGCATGAACCTTTGGTATAAATGAAAATGTACATAAGAAGTGTTCCACAGCACTCTCACCTGTGATAGGGGAAGGTAGTGGCTGAGATCTGCCTTGTGTTTGCATTTGCAATGGGTCTAGGGCAGAGGTACCCAACACACAGTCACATCAAGCATACAGTTAACTCTTTATTAAACTAATTCATACCTATTCCACAACCATCAAAAAACGAAAAAATACAACAGCAAGTCCCACATCCATGTTGCTCAGTGTTTTGTTAATCTGTACCCGTTCCCACACATGAAGTCCAGTTTCCCAGCATTAAAGGCTCACAGCCAACCAGCATGGATCCTACTAATGGCAGTCCTCCATTGACAAACATCCCTTGCAAGTGGCTGCCCCTCCATGCCCTCCAAAAAAAATGTCTGAGTTATGACCCCTGGTTGTTAGAGCTGGAGACTTAGTCAGAACTTTTGGGTTCCACTTCTGGCTGTGCCATTTGCTTGACATGACATTGGCGAGCTGTACTTCAGTCTACTGATCTGTAAAACTGCTTAATCTCTCAAGAGAGGGCTGTGAGATATGGAAGCCTAATGATGAGTTTAGATTTCCCTCCTACTAGAAAACATCTTGTACTTAATAACATCTTCCAGGTTTTCCATGTTCTACTAGGAATATTAAATGTTAAGACCTAAAACAATCCAACCAAAAGGCTTGTTCTAAGAGAAAGAAAGTTTGAGTCCTTATCCACAGCTGAGTGCTTTTACAAGGCTCTTGTGACTGGTCTCTCAAGTCATGTGGTTATTTGCAACCTGCTTACCTTCCCCTTCTACCACCCTTCTGCATACCCACTCACCTGTGGTAGAACAGCTGTACTGTGGGTACTGTGTGAAAGCAATAGCCCTTTCAACTCCATCTTTTTCCATCTCTTCAATTGCTTCTTCTGTCAGAGGATGGACATACCGAAAACCAATATAGTATTTATGAGGTGCTATCAGTGGAGGAGAGACAAAAAGAAACAGCAGCTGATCATTTTATCTGCAAACACTCCGATTTGAAAATCACTTTACAATGGGCTGCAGTCAGAGCTCGTGAAATTTTCAGTAAGCAATTGCACCACCCCCTCCTTCACTTCAGCCAAAGCTCAAACTTACAAGCCTTTGAGTGCACTCTCCTATCACCACTAATGAAGGGTGGTACAAAACAAGAGACTTATATTGTTGGCATGCTATTCTGGCTCCCTCTCTCAACTGTTGTTACATAAACTAGGTACTTTGATCAAGTGATTGATCTTACTTGCCTATTAGCAGAAAGCAGGCCAGAGTTAGCAGAACTTAAAACTGATTTATTGCATCAGTCTGCTGGGGATGTCGCCTTTTCTGCGCTCCTTTCATTTAACTCTGAACTGCTTTTGGAAACATAACACTTCAGAAACTCTAATTTAGCCTGGTCTACACTAAGAAGGTTTTAAGCCAGGATAAGTATGTTGCCAATAGGTATGATTTTTCCTGATGCAATTATGCTAATAAATTCTCAAATGTCCACACTGTTATACCAGTATAGTTCATTTCACTCTCCAGAATCAGGATAAGCTGTACCAAGTCTTTCTGCTGTTGTGTATGGACACATTAGTAAAAGAAAGCAGTTTTGTTACATGTCTTGGGGTAACAAAATTGATATACCTCAAAATCTATGGATGACGCCTTTCAGAGGCATCATTCTAAAAGTACGAGTACTCAGACCCCTTGGAGGCAATTCAAGTTATGGACTCAAAAAAAATCATTATTAATCATTTCTGTACAGGTCAGGTCTTCACAACTTTGGCTGTCTGCTGTATCCACAGCTGCAGACCAGCACACACAAGCACAAGAATCACTTTACATAAACCAACCATCATATGAGATAGGATGGGAAAGGAACTTGCGTGCCTAACGCAGCACTGCTCTATAGAATTCTACCCTGGAATAAGGGGGAAAAAAAGCAGTGAAGAGAACAGCAAAGAGAATGGGAGTGAAGATGCATGTGAAGGAGACTAGTCTTAAGTTGCAAGTCTAAGAAAGGAGTGGGACTTGCCAGGATTTCCTAGACAGAACCTAAGATAGATTAAAGTAATGCTTGTTGAACTTACAGCTTGTTGGTTTTTGTCACCAGGACTGTTTAGAATAAATAAAACAAAATTTTAAATGTTCCATGTGTGGAATCTAATTATTACGGGAGGTCATCTTAAATTCAAAGTCGTCTTGGATTCGGGTGAAATATGGTATTCTCAAAGTGAAACACATCATTTCTTACTGATTTACAGAGCAAATTATTCCTCTGTTTGGAAAGGAAAGGAAGAATTGCATAGTGTTGCTACCTACTGCCTTGCATGCTGTCAAACAAGACAATTAACAACTCAAGGGAACAGTCTGCAATTATCAGTGCTGCACAGCTTAGTGCTCCACATAACAGAAGTACGAGTATTAGACAGGAGTTCAGAAAGTTCCAAAACGTTACATCTCAGGCTGAAAGCATTTTTCAAGCTATTTTAAGGCAAGTGTGTTCTGCACTTGTATTGGTGAATCTTCCAAGATCATAATTAGCATATACAAAAAGCAGTTAGTTCACCTTCTAAAACTGCTGTTACTCCTTAAGCAGTATATTAGGGCTCTAAAATAATAGAACTAGATGAAAAGACTGCACAAATAGATAAAGATAGGGTGGATTTCATTTAGTGACCATATTATAGAGTAGGAGGGAGTGACACTTTTGAGAAATATAGATAAACTCCCTTGAAGCCATTAGCTTAACACTGTTATGCAATTAACCCCCCAAGAAACTGCTTTAACTGAAAACACTATCATGTACACTGCAATGGCAAGGTGTAGTTAGTGAGCTTAGGCTCTGAACAAGAGCTATTCTTTATCTACTCTCACAGAGGCCCACTGCAACAGAGTCACATTACCATGTCTGTTGGCAGGGTTGTACTCAACCCTTTAAAACAAACTGATGAGCTGATATTAAGCTCTTCACCAGTTTTGCAACTCTAACACTTAACTACCCACATTTTAAAATGGGTTCTTAATACAAAGGACTGTAAATCACCTGAAGTCCAAAGCATATGTATCATCAAAACTGGTCCTGGTTTTCTCTGTTTAAAAATCATGAATTCTCCAATTAAAACCCCCAAATCCACACATTTTTCCATGATTAAAATGAAACGCCACTATGCATATAGGTATCAGTTGAACACAATGTTTTCTTGATACATTTACAATGTTAAAGCAATTTGGGAGCCTACCAGTGCCTCAATCATTATAATAAATTCTAAATACCTATATATTTTGGCATTTGATTTTTTTTTTCCATCATGGAAAATCAGAGTTCCCCCTACCCCTTTCACTCACCGGGATGCAGGCCCAGCTACAGCTGTTCCACCCTGTTACTTTATGGTGCTAAGCATCCCTGATATGTTGGTGCCCTGCCCCTCGCTTCCAAGCCACAGCTCCCTCTGCCCTGGCAGTGTCCCTCACTCCCTACTCTTGTCCCACTGCAGTTTCCAGCTAAAACTGCTTTGGAAACAGGTATAAATTAACATCCCTAAATCCTACCACTAAAGCTAAATTTGATTCAAATTATTTTTATACCAGTTTGAAAATCCTGGTGATGCAAGAGTTTGCACTAGCATAGTTAAAATTGTTTAAAATGTGTTTTAGTGCAAATCTGCGTGTAGCCTGGACTTTAGGCCTCTGCATAAATTTTTCATGCTGAACATTGTTAGCAGCTGTTGGGAATCTTTAAACTGTGAAACCATGGATTTATGGGTGCAAGTAGTGAAATTGTGGTACGTAGGTGCTCTATGAACTTAATCCCATAGTTGGAATATGCACGTGCAACAGCTCCTTGGCCCTGACAGTGCCCTTCACTCCCAACCCGTTCCACCCCCAGCCTCCCAGTGTGCAAGGAAGGTAGGGGGTGTGGGTATAAGACACGGGGCTGTAGCCTGGCCAGCCCAGCTCCAGGCACTCTGCAGCCCAGCAAGCAGGACCCAGCGCGGGAGGGAGAGCTGCTGCACCACCATGGCCATCAGTAAGTGGAGGTGACATGGAGTTCTGTCCCCACTGCTACTGGGAGAGCAGGGGCACCTCTGCTCAGCGGCTATGGCGGTGCAGCACTCCCTCCTATGCTGGGTCCCACCTCCTGTGGGAAGGCACATGCCTTCCTTCCAGTTTCATAGACGTACCTGCAGGAAGCTGTAGGAACTGCTTTCCACCACACTGCCTGGCTGCCATGTAGGTGCATGTGTGCCTGCACATGCACATGGCCTCCCCCCCCCCCCCCCGCTGCCTGTTGCAGGCTGGAACTCAGCCAGCCTGCAAGGGGAAGCCCACAGTTTCGCAGGTTTCTCGCCTCTGAAATAGAAAGTCAATTATTTTCTCCTTTAAAAAGGGAAAAACTGCATTTTTCCATGGCAAACAGAAAACCCAGAACCCTGATTATCACACAGAACTGCGACTATACAGCAGCAAATTTCAAGGCCAAGGAAACAGCAAAAAAGGACCACGACATTTAGTCCTAGGAAGTTACTGAGCTGTATAGAAGCAAAACTCCTTCCTGGGCCTCTTACTTTTCCAGTTTCAATTAACATCTCAGCATTTGGAACATGTACCATAATAGCTAAGGGGAGAAAGTGCTATCTTGGTATTAATCTTTAGCAGAGTCAGTCAACAGGTTATCTGGCCAAGGTCCCTTCTCCTCACATCACTATTTTCCTCCCCTTGGGTATCTGCAGCAGAACAGTTAACTGTGATACAGATACTAGTGCAGTTAGAATGAAGGTGAGCATTCAAGCTTATTCCAAAACAGAGCAGCCCAAAAAGTGATCACTGCTTATGGCTGCAACCAAAGTAGCAGTCTCAGCAGAGAGGACAAAGAATTGAGGCCCAACCTTCCAAACAGCTGTTACCACACATTTCTTGCTGTACCTAGTCTCCCCTACGCAATGGGTATAGGGGCTGATCTGCCAAGCCCTTGAAGCTGTACCCACCTGAGTGGAGGGCTACAGAAGTCTGTCATGGATTCCGACCCTGAACATTTTGGGTGGGAGGGAAAGCAGAAGAATGTGGTTTCTGGTGGTGCTGCATGTGCATATTTCAACTATGGAATTAAGTTCATAGAGCACCTATGTACCACACTTTCACCACCCTTACCCAAAAATCCAGGGTTTCACATTTTCAGATTCCCAACAGGTGCTAACAATGTCTATAACACCTTGAGTAGGTGCTGTGAGTACAACACCGCCCCCTAGGTCAGGGTCTCCCAACTCACCTGTCACGACTTGTTGGTATATGAAGAGAAGGAAGGGGTTCAGTGGTGTTCTCTTCCCTTGTAGACCTGAAGACAGGGTACTCACAAGTGTGCTGCGGTGTTCCTTGGGGCTCTGCCTCCCCTACACCCCGTCCACTCGCCAACCGCTCGGGTATTTCGCTCGTTGCCCCGATGATCTACATTGGCTCCCTTAATTATGGGGTCAGGCATTGGCTTCAGTAATCCGGGATTACCGGGATGTTGATACACCTGGAGCCTCAGTCCCTGGTCTCAAGGGTCTGAGCCACAGGTGTCTGGCGTCCTCCACCAAGAGGGACGCCTCTAGTAACCTTTAATGCTGAGGGGCTGGGGATTGCCCACCCCACACCTGATGCCAGACACTGCTCCCCATCCTTTGCAGCGGGGTAGCATCTTCTGTGCTGCCACAGCCAGCGCCCGGAGCCTCCACCTGGCCGGCGTGCTCCCAGATGGCTTCCTCCCCCTCCCTTGCCAGCTTCCGGCAGGGTTTTTAAAATTCCCCACAGCGACAGTGTCAGCTGCTGCAATCAGCTGGCTACCGCCCCGCCCAGGAAGCAGCCGCTTGAAGAACCGGTGAAACACCGGCTAGCGTGGCTCCTGCTCCGCCCCCGCCCATCCAGACAGTAAGTTTCCCAGGTTGCAGGGTGCTCTCTCCCCCCCCACTCAGGGAATGCCGGGGTTTGTCCCCAGCGTCCTCGGCGCCTGTGGGGGCTTCTCGCCCCCACAACGTCCAACATGAGAAATGTATGCAGAGGCCTAAAGCCCAGGATACACACAGATTTGCACTAAAACAAATTTAAAACTAAATTTCAGTGACACAGGTGGTAGCTATATTGGTCTACAGACAAGTTTTCGGGCATACTCACTTGCAAATGAAGACATTTTTTAGCAAATATATAGTTATTTAAAAGATATCACCTCTGCCACAAGTTCTGATTCCTTTTGCCTGTAGACCAATACGGCTACAACCTGTACCCCTAAAACATGGAAGATATCGATTTTAGCCATTTTTTAAGTGAAAACTTCCTAATTTTACAAGAAAGAAGCAACATCTACCACCTGGAAACCTGAAAGCTGACACCTTGCTCCTGCCTTTTGTTCGAGCTAAATTTGCATGTTCACAGAGCTCAGAGGCACCTCAACACAAGAGAAATTCCTTACCCAGCAAAGCATTCCATCTTCCCACACTCCTGTGAAATATGAAACATCATAACCAGAAGATTAGAACTATAACATCATAACCAGAACTATTCCAACCAAGTGATCTTACAACATCTGATGATCTTCCAAGTTCCCTTCCAGCCCTAATGTTTATGAAACCTATGAACCTTCAGCTCTCCCATGAAATATGAATTTTCATTTCCATCTAGGAAAAATGTTACAATCTTTGCATTTCCCTATGCCTGAAGAGGGCAAATATGCAAAAAAAAAAAAGCCTGCAAATTAAATTTTTTTTTGCAAATATCTAGTTGGTCTAATAAAAGATACCACCTCTGCCATGAGTTCTGAAACAAATTTCACTTATGCTGGTGCAAACTCCTGCATCAGCAGGATTTTCAGACTGGCTTAAAAATCATTTGAGTCAGGTTAGCTTTAATGTTAGCATTTAGGGGTGTTTATTTTTACCCGTTTCCAAAGCAATTTAACTGGAAGCTACAATGGGAGAAAAGCAGGGGGGTGGATGATTCTGAACATGCCCTGTTCACCCTCTGGTTCAGCCTCCACAAACTGCTATCCCACAGGATGCTGGGCTAGATGGATCTATGATCTGACCCAGTAAATGGAATTTCTTGTTCTTTCTTATGGCCAGTGTCATGTGTGGATCAGTCCTTAAATTAACAAAAGTGTCACATTTCTTTTATATGGATTTCCACTAGCTGGAGTGGACAGGGTCACACAGACCCAGCAAACTTGGGAGGGGAGACAGACTTTTACAAAGATTAGCAAGCTTGCTCTCTTTTCAGACTCTACCTCAACTGATAGAGTGCTTACAAAAGACTATATCTCCTTTTTGTTGCCGCATGCAGGGCAAGCCAGACTGTTAAGGCTTATCTACTGTTCTTAGTCCCAAGGGAGGAACCCTCATGCCCTTGGGTGGAACTGACAGTAGTCATCTTATTGCATTGCAGAGTTCAACCACAAAAAGGCAATCTTTCTTCCGGCAATAGTATAGAGATCAGACCCAGTTTGTGCTAAACCTTTTATCCTTCATGAACTGTTAAAAATTCAGTTTAACAGACTCGGACTGTACACACACTATTAGCCTGGTTGTACTCTTTAAATATCCATTAAAAAACAAGACCAAGGGCATCCAAAGAGACCTCCCCAAAAGCCCCTGAAGCATGACCATCTTACTGAAAGCTACCCAACCCCCAAAACCCCTGGGGCACAGCTAAAGCATACCAAAAATACCCAAGCCTCCACATCCAGGTTGCATATTTAGATAGTTATTTAATAACACTCCAGTTGAGCTGCATCTGCACTGAGAAGTAAAGCACTGTACATTGGCTTCAAGAGCAACAGGACAGGAATAACACAAAGTCTTGTGAGTTGTAGCTACTGGCAATGTTAACAGTGTGGCAGTGAGGAGGGCTAACTGACAGCAGTAGGGTCTGCTCTGCTCTACAGTTAAGCTCATTCTGAGGCAGCACTGTGTGTACGAATTTTATGACACAGAAACTATTGTCACTATGACGCACATCACGGTGCCCAATCATATTCTTGGTAATGTCAAGGAACAGAAGATGAAGCCCCTGCTTTAAAGGAGAGCCTTTCACTCAGTGACAGGGGACAAAACCTTCCTGTAATTGAAACGGTGACATTGGTGTCCAGGGCAGTGACCACAGGGATGGAACCACTTTTCTTCCAGGAAAAATACATACATCTTAAGTTACAGTGGAGATTATAAAGCCATTCACAAGAGCACCAGCCTGCATCCCAGATCCACACTGACTTCTCTGTGCTGGCAATTATATCAATCTTCTTGCCTCTCACCCCAGCTTTATTAGACAAACTTTCTCCATTAAAAGACACTCTTCTCTTTCCTGTTTTCCCAAGATAAAAGTTTGCTCAAAAAACCCTTTAGTTGTGACTATAATAGTCATGGTAGGGATGCAACCTCTAAACGTGGACTTCCTACACCTCTAGACCTTAGAAACTGTAAGGGAAGAGGGGCAGGGGACAGGTCAGTCTGGATGGACCCTGTACTGACACACTTCTCCTTAGCACCTGCTCTGCACCACTGTAAAACACAGGATGATGGGTTAGATGGACTGATAGTCTTACCTGGTATGGTATCTCTAGTATGTTCTAACCCAGCTAGTTCAAATACTGGTAGCAGTTTTACCACAGCAATGCAAAGCTCAGCATATGCTACAGCACCTGTTCAGGAAACTGGGTAAATGCTGAGATTATTAGCTTAGCTCAATGGCATCATGGTTAGATTGCTACTAGTACCCAAGTTAGCAAGTAACAGCAGAGTATACTTCCCACAACACAAGTACCATGCACTATACATGCTTACCTCTTCAAAAGTAAACACTCTACAACAAGAGTATCATTTTCATAAGCATTTTACACAGGACTGATCATACTGTTGGCACTCAAACAATAAGAGGTGCGAAAGTGAAAACTGATTCACATATACATGTACTTTCAATAGACAAAAGCCTCCTAAACAAGTGTACTAAAGTGTACAAGTACCAGTGTGAGGAGACATTCCATCCAGCAGTTTCACCATGCCTTCTCCTTGTACTGCAGTCCATTTCTTAATTGGTGATCCGCCTCCAATCTTGCTATATTGTTCTTGGATTTTTGGTGTGCGACGTTTGGCAATGAATGGTGCCATCTTACTGAAACATCCAAAAACATAATCCCCATTATCTCCTCTTTGCCCTCAGCAAGCAATCATTCCCACCACCAAGTAAGCTGTTAATTCATCATGATCGTGGCTTGTTCAGCATTATTCTTATGATCGAATTCACTTTCATGGATTTGGTAGATGGCAATTAAGAAAGTTACAAAGGACTGTGATTCTAGATGAAGGACCAGACCTAAGACTCCCTACTTCTCAGAGACCTGCAATATGATTTAGGAGTGCCAAGAATTCATGAGACATTCAGAACAGTTCTTGTCCTCAGAAATTCCTGACATGCAGAAGAATAGCACAGTTCTGTATGCAGCTCACAATGGTACTAAAACATGAACACTCAATGTAAAACCCAGCAGCAAAGTGCCCAGTGTTACTTACTTTTGTACAGGAAGCGTCATTAGGTCTTTATCTAGAAAAAGCCTAAGGAGGAAGTCGTGGACATCCTCCAGTGTTTCTGGCCCTCCCATGTTTAACATCAGAACTCCAGTTTTAGGGTTCCTATAAACAGTAAGGGAGGGAAAAAAGTCAAGCTTTTAGGTCACAGTGTAGCTTGCAACAATATAATCAGCCTAATTCCTGGTCTTTCTGTGCAAAATGAAGATCACTTTAAATGCTAATTCCAGAATGCCAAATTCTTATGTTATTATATTTAGTAATGCTTTATGCCGGCCCTTTGAAATCAGTGGGTCTACTCAAGGTATAAGCTTCTACTCCTTAAGATTAAACCTATATGCCTGTGACTTTAAGATACCTGATACTAGGCACCAAACTAGGAAATTCCTTCCATCTGTTTATGTAAATATACAAAACATTAGCAGCTGGGGACTTCACCCCTGTAGGCATCCTTCAGTATCATACAGCTTACAACCAAGAGCTTAACTAAACCGTTCATCCTTTAATTATTAAACACTGCAATTAAGCGAATAACAGGTTCAAGGGACATACCTTTCCTGAATGCCAGCAACTCATTTTAGCCGAATAACTGCTGTGACTTTGGTTCATCAGAAAATATACTACAGTGTACACAAAAATCCTTCGCTGCTCGAGGAATGGCTTAGATCAGTGATCAGCAGGGCTGTCCCTGGGTGGGGGAGGGGGGGGTGAATCAGGGCAACCGCCCTGGGCCCCATGCTTTGGGGGACCCCATGGACAGTGCCATACAGGCTCTGCCGTGGCCACCACATGCCGCTGCTGCCGGCTCCAGCTGGGGGGCTAATGGGGCTCAATCCCCTCCAAACAGCAGGTCGCAGCAGGTATAGCCTTAGACCATGCATGGGCTGCTGCAGTGGAGGGGAGGGAAGAGCACACTCAGCTACCCTGCACTCGCAGCCAGCACTGCAGCTGGCTCAGCTGCATGCAGACAAGTAAATTTCTTTTTATCTTCTTTATCACCCTGGGCTTGGGGGGGTGGGGGCAGATCGAGACCCCCACAGTGCTGGGGAGAGTGGCGTAGGGGAAGGGCAAATTATTAACCCCTGTGCCTGCCCCCTCCCTGTTGCACAATGGGGATTGTCCCATGACTTGGACCGGTCGAGGCCCCATTCACTGTGACTGGGGCCCTAGCTGGGCCAGGTTGTGGGAAAGTCTGAACCGGGTGGCTCCCACTGCTGCACACACCACGGGAAACCAAGGGGAGGGGAGTTCCAGCCCTCTCCTGGCTCCCATGCGCCACATTCCTGGACAAGCCGCCAAGCTCCGACTGTCCCACAACCGGCCTGGCCAGGACCCCAGTCATGAGGAATCAGGTCCCAGCTGGGCCAGGTCATGGGACAATCAGAACCTGGCAGCCACTCCAGAGGCGCAGTGCAAGGGAAGGCAGCATCTGCAAGCTGCGCTCTGCTCCAAGCCTCACCGCCACTCCTTCGAAAGCGGCACAGCATGGCACCATGTGCCTCACTGCCCAGCAGCTGGATGCATGACTGTGCCCGCCACTTTCAAAGCAGCAGCAGCAGGGAGGCACAAAGGCAAAGAGCCCTCTGGCCCAGCAGTGCAGTTGAGGCTGGCCTCGCTACTGCCCCCGGCTCTGGGCCCCCCCGGGTGGTGCGCAGCTGGGGCTGGAGGCAGCCGGGGCTGCTGTGACATGGAGCCAGGCAATGTCGCTTCCCCCACCATGGCCCTTTCCTCTCCCCCTGCAGACTTTTCCATGTGGGGGGCACGCACATGTTCAGCTCCCCCAATTTTCTTCTTCTTCCTCCACCTATGCTCGGCACCCCCCTCCACCCCCCACTCCAGGCCCTGCACAGGCTGATATGCCCCAGGCCCCACACACCCCTAGGGATCTCTGGAGATCAGCCACCTTTTGGAAACAGTTGGCTGAATTAATACAGCTGAGTCCAAAGGCAGGCAGCTGTTTGCAAGTTAGCCACTGCCACCAAATAGCAATCAACGGCCCAGCTTTGTGGACTAAATTAAAAAAAAAAAAAAAAATTATATATGCGCTTCATGGGCCAGATCTGGCCCATAAGCCATAGATCTACGCAAGGTAATTTGAATAGGTCTCCTCTCTCTGTAATTATTTTATAAAGTATAACTGAACATTCATTCATTCTGTGGTTGTCATACAAAATGTCAGCATCAATAGCACTGGTGGAATTGCAGCTAACTGGTAACTTGGTGGAGCCCACAATGAGCCCATTTCTTTCATAGGTCCAACAGATGGAGATAATATGCTCAAGGTCATACTGAAGGTCAGTGGCAGGGCACAGAACTGAAACTGGGTTTCTCAGCATCTTGACCACAGGCCCACTCTCTCTCCCCAGAAGTGCTGAAAGGGAGAGCCAGTCCACAAACAGAGGCATAAATTCATTTCATTTGGAAATACAGGCAGTCCTCGACTTGCAACGTTTTGAGTTACGTTTCACACTTAAAATGTTTATAAATTGATACCCTGTTTCAACTTTACAACGCCAGTTTCGACTTACAACGCTCGATCCAATGCAATGCTATGCCAGCGAACAAGTTTACTGCGTCACTCATCTCCCTGGAGAACATCTGTCCAAACTTCCTTGGACACTTTCTTTAAGAAAGCAGACAAGACTCCAGAAAAACCTGCAGCCAAGACTCCCGAGAAGACTCCAGCCAAGAACCCTTCAAAAAGTCCAGCAAAGTCACCTCAAAGAAGTCCTTCCAAATCAATGATTGCTATTTACAATATAAATATATTAATGTAGTTATATTACTTATCTATAATTGATCGAGTACAAAATTCTGGGGTATTTTTGGTGAAAATAGGGTATCCAGCCTTGGTTCAGGAACCAATGCCCAATTTATAACACTGATTCTTATGAGAAAATTGGTTCCGAGTTATGTTTTGACTTAAGACGCGGTTTTCAGGAACCAACTGTGTCGTAAGTCTGAGGACTGCCTGTATTGGATTCTTTACTCTGCTCCAGTATATTACAACACTCAGAGGGCATAGAGTGGCCAAAAATTGAGTCAGATAGTCTGCCAAAAGTTCTCCTATGAGAGGGAAACTCACTGCTAGAACAAGTCCATTAGCAGTATGCTCAGCACCTGCTTCCTCCCACCCCTGGCACAGGAAACATGCCTGGTGTGGGACTGCCAGGCAAGAAAAATAGTCAAAGCTCCACTCTGCTACTGCCTGACTGCTACTGGAGTAGGGTCCAGGTGCAGGACAGACTCAAGCTCATCATGGTGATTAAGAGGTGAGAAATGGAAAGCACAAACACTTCGTTTTCCATAAGTGAAGTAGTCAAAGTTGCATAGGACATGGACACTTGATATGGCTTTAGGAGTCTAGTATGCAGGAACTATCAAGTTTCCATCCCAGCTCTGACATGGACCCTCTCAAAGTTGAGGCAACTCACTTCTCTTTTAACTTTCTGCATGTGCAAACACCCTTCACCATGTTGTGAGAATCAGCATTTTCAGTGTCCCGAAATCCATGGATAGGAGGCACCTTTTATAAAGCTGAAAATAAGTGAATTGGTGTCTCACACTAGAAAATAACTGTTGTCACTCCATTCATTACACATTATTTTCTAAAAATACAAATCATAAGGCTTCCACTGAAAATTGCTAGTTGGTTCTTTCAGAGCAGTCTAGAAAGTTTAGACACACATATGTACATTCACTAGATACGTAAAAAATTAACCATTCTATATTTCCCTCCTCTTTCCCATAACAAATCCCAGGACATTTTACAGAGTAAATACTTAAGCAAGAGGCACACCCAACACTTTATTATTTATATTATTATAGTCCCTGCACCCCTAGTCATGCACCACAACCGCACTATGCTTCACATCGTCCAGAAAGAACAAAGAGAAAAAGACCAGTACTTGTCCTAAAATGTTCACAAAGCTAAGAGAGAACGGGAAGGGAAGGGAAAGAAGGGGGAAAGAGGAGAACACACACAAGAATACAATGAGACTTCACTGTTATTGTAAAACAACAGATCCCCCCTACTAAGTTTGAGCTTTATAAAGTGTATCCTGGAGAACAGCAGGGTCAGAGGTGACTTGGTGACAGCCTATAAGTACATAAGGGGTGTGCATCAGAATCTGGGGGAAAACCTGTTCACCAGAGCACCCCAAGGGATGACAAGGTCCAACGGTCACAAACTCCTGCAAGACCGTTTTAGGCTGGACACAAGGAAAAACTTCTTTACTGTCCGAGCCCCCCAAGGCCTGGAAAAGACTCCCCCAGATGTGATGCAAGCGCCTACTCTGGACACTTTCAAGAAATATTTGGATGTTTATCTTGCTGGGCCCCTTTGGTCCTAGCTGACTTCCTGCCCTTTGGGCAGGGGGCTAGACGCAATGATCTTATGAGGTCCCTTCCAACCCTAATTTCTATAAAAGTGTTAACATCATCACTGAGGAAGACAGAGAGCAGGTGTCTCACACTTCAGTTACTACCAGCACGGAAGAGGCTCAAGCCTAAATTCTTACCTCTTTTCTGGCTGACTTTGAAGCTTTGTGCTTTTTGTTTCTGAGGCTGCTGTTGCGGCTGCGGATCCCTGACCTCTCCACTGTATTTGGACTGTGACCTGACTTCTGCTTTTCACAACTGGAAAGAGATTAAAATGTATTGTTAGTTCATAAACAGGCAAAGGATTTTTACAGGATGCAATAGATTCCCCTAATACCTACTTGAATGTATTGGTGGTCAAACAATAGTTGATGTTTTTGTTCAAGCCCTAGCTCTGGGAATGAAGCAGGTTTAGAAAAGTCAGAAGTTTTGTTGGTTTGTTTTATATTAAGGTTGCTATCCCCCAAAGATGCAGAGAAAAGCTTGAAGACATAACCCAAAAACACCCTAAAGGCTCAAAGCTAGGAACTAATTTTTTTATATATATTATATATATATAATACAGTCCCATCTTTAAGTCAAGCTCATGATTTCTGAATAGTTGAAGATACTGCAACAGAGCCAAGGAAAGCGAAGCACTGCACTTCAGTGTTTGGGCATGTCTAGCGCATGCTGTATTGCTCAGCGTATACATACCAGCAGATTGGAAGCACAATGGCAGGACTAAGTGAGGAAATTTGATATACTCTATAAATACTCTACAGACAGACAACTGCAGTCAGCTCAGCTGTCATGCTACCACCTTTCACAAGCGTCTATTCACAAAACCTTAGGCTTAAATCTGGTGTGGGTTATCTAAGAATCAAACCTCAAGTTTCTGGGCTTTAAACCCATTTGCTCTGATGCTGCCCACTTGTTCTTTAGCCTGACTCAGGGCTGCAGTATACAGCCCCAGCAATTTCACAGAATTGATTCAGGGCCAATTCAACCAGGGATCTCTAGTTTTTTGGAGGCAGCAGCCATCTTGTCTTAATATTTGCACTAGCTCTTTCCCCATTGCTCCCTGGACTCTAGTTTCTGCCAGAAAATGGCAAAAAACCCAAAAGCAGAGGGGGATAAGAAAGACTGTTGAGTGTTGATAACAGTGCATTTCAAACAGAACGTTTATTTGCTTTCCCGCCAAAGGCTGAGGGTATCACCTTACTGACAGTTCTAGGGTTTCTAGTTATTAAATCTAACTTCTAAGAGCAAAATATTTCTAAGCAACTGACAACAATGAATGATCTGACACCTTGGACAATTCACATCCTCCCAGTCTCAGGTTCCCCATTCATCTTTTTTGGGCCATATTTCCCAACCACCACGGGATTTCTGAGAATTCACACTGACAAATCATTTTGGCTATCCTGCAGCAATACCTAAATAAGTGTAAACCAGCTAGGTCAGGTACCAGAAGCAGTTCTGCCCCTGTAGCACAGATATCTACATAGGCTAATTTACTGTGCTGAGAAGCTAGCTTGGCTACTTCTACACTCCCCTACCCTCCTCTGCAGCATAGACAAACCGTTAGCAAAGTTCTGATAGACGTAAGAAGCATCCTCAAGATCCGCTGAAATCAATAGCTAATCGAGGTAGAGGACACCTTCTGGGACCATGCATGTGTACATGGATTATTACTGGTTTAAGTATTTATAGCACAATATATTCATAGTGGTTTAGAAAGGAGCAGTCTATGGTATTTGTGCCAACTTAAGCATTTCTGTTCTCTGATTTTTTTTCTTCCTTCTAAACTTTTAAGGTTACTAAATTTATTGAAGTCTTGATACAGGAGAGAGTTACCACAATAAACACCAAATGCAAAAATGAAGGTTTTAACTGCAATATTAATTCACCTACATTATAAGTATGTTAGTATGCCATACTAAGAGAGCCCAAGCTGGATGATCAGAGTACATCCCATCTCTTTTCACCGTTTAGTCTGAGCTGAGAACACCTTGCATTTTTCATTGACTCCTAGTAAGATTAATCATTTTTAAACCAAATTCCTATTTGCCCAAAGGCACTTAGACTGGTTGCATTTAAAAGTCTCTCTGAACAATAACACATAAGATAGCATACAGTAACAAAAAATACTGGTACAGCAACTCAAGCACGAGACCCTACATCTGTAGATCTATGATTTCCCCGAGGAGGAGAGTAGCCAAGGAAGTTGTGCAGGGAGGATCTGTTTTTCTGAGTTTTTTTAAGTTAGTAAGGTGTTATCATGCAGAGTCACAGACTCTGAAACATACTTCAAAATGATTTATTGGACATGCACATTGTGAACTGCTATTTTATTAACTGCAGTATGTTTTAAATAATTGTTATTTGAATGCCTGGGTTTTTAAAACCTATTTTTGACTGAAATGTCACGTTGGGTGGCTAAACCATTAAAAAAAAAAAAACTTGATCAGCTGACTGGTCAAATACTGTCAAGTATTTTAGAACAAGTGTTTTGAGCATAATGTGTTATAACAGTAAAGAGAGAGAGACTTTAATTTTCAATAGGTTAGATACTTATGCTAATCACAGAAAACAACTTACCTGTTATTGTGCAAGTTAAATACAAAAAACCAACTGGAATGAATTATTACTACTAACAATGTCATGTGACTGTAAATGGGACTAGGCAGACAAGGTTCCTTGGGTGAATTTGATATCTTTTATTAGACCAACCCAAATGGTTGGAGAATAGTTATTGAGCAAGCTTTCAGGCTAAGGCTAAGGAAGCTGCAGCAGTTGGTGTGTGCTCTTCCTGGAAGATCCAACTGCTGCAGCTTCCTTAGCCTGATGAAGGGTTTTTGAACCCAAAAGCTTGCTCAATAACTATTCTCCAGCCATTTGGGTTGGTCTAATAAAAGATATCAAATTCACCCAAGGAATCTTGTCTGCCTATATCCTCAGACCAACACGGCTACAACCTAAACCCCTGTAAATGGGAATGATATTCAAGACACTACCATTTTTGTCCTTGGCTTTTATCCCAGAACCCCAGCTTTTCTATCCTACTCGTTTTGGTCCCTCCATAGCACAGTGGTGCTTGCTACCCCGCACCACTTAAGGGGGCGGAAGAGGAGGTCAGAAGAGCCCCAGAGAGGGGAAGGGCAGGGAGCGACTACTCCTAAATGCAGACCATGTATCCTCCATGTTGCAGGGGTGTAGGTTGTAGCCGTGTTGGTCTAAGGATATAGGCAGACAAGGTTCCTTGGGTGAATTTGATATCTTTTATTAGACCAACCCAAACAGTTGGAGAATAGTTATTAAGCAAGCTTTCGGGTTCAAAAACCCTTCGTCAGGCTCAGGAAGTGCCAGCAGTCGGTGTGTGCTCTTCCTTAGCCTGACCAAGGGTTTTTGAACCCGAAAGCTTGCTTAATAACTATTCTCCAACTGTTTGGGTTGGTCTAATAAAAGATATCAAATTCACCCAAGGAACCTTGTCTGACCATGTATCCGGGCTCCTGAAGGACAAGGAGCCCTCACCCCTGCCCTTCCTAACATAGATGACACCCTTGTCCAATGCAAATCGTAGGCCACTACCTTCGGAAGGGCCTTCTTGGTCTCACGGGCTCAATGACAGCGGGCAGTTACCAGCCTGCCACCCTGGGCAAACAACAGGTTTTCCTGCACGTGCTCAAACGCACCCCAAATTGCTTCCCAGGGCTGCAAAGGGCTCAAGCACCCCCGCCAAAATGCCTCCTAGGGCTGCAAAAGCTCAAGCGTCCCCGCCAAAACGCCTCCCAGGGCTGAGGGGGCTCACGCGCCCCCCACCCCAACACCTCCCAGGGCTGAGAGGGCCCCGACGGCTCCAGTTACGCAAACGCGGCGCTTGTGTAACGCGGCCCCGACCTCTCCTGCCGCCGCCCGAGCCCGAGCCCGGCCCCGCGCACTCACCGCGCCGCATCCGGCTGGCGGCGCGCAGGGAAGGGAAGGGGCGGGGCCGGCCGAGGCCACGCCCCGTCCTCCTCCGCTCCTCCCCCCGCCGGACGTCACCGCCAGCGCGCTCCACTGCCGGACGTCACAATGCATCGCGCCCCGGAACGCACGCAGCCCCGTCACAGCCTGGCTGCGCAGGGACGGCACGTGCCACGCGGAGAGCCTATCCTTAGGGATGCACATTTACTAATGAATACGTCAAATAATTATTCCGCATCCAGTACAGAGCCCTAAAGGAAGGTCAGATTAAGGTGGGGTGATGGGGTAAAATACTTCTTGGGCCGCCCCAAGCTTCCTTCAAGCAAGGAACGAGCAACTGGGAATAGGCAGCCAACTTCAGCCTCACGGGTACTAACTACCCTTATAGATAAGAGGACAACCAAGGAGGTAAATCCCTCTGGAAACTGGCCTGCTGTCCAGCCCTGACCAGAGGTGCAAATTACCAAAGAAAAGTTGAATGTAAAGTTATAACGAAGTGTATATTATGACAACAAGAACAAAACCTTACAGTATTATAAACACAGTACAGACAATATATAGTTAAAAAACCCAATATGAGTCTATCACCCTAGGTGGGAGACTCGAGAAGGCCCTAGGGGGTATGTGCAGGTGCACAGGCACAGAGCGCAGCTACACAGCATCCCACGCTGCCGTGCGGGCGCCACCCACCCCGCTAGATGTGGGGGGCAGGGGAAGCTTGCACGCGCAGCTGCTGCTGCTCTGCATCTGGCTGCATGCCACCCCCCACCGCCGCTCTGTCCAGGGGTACACTGCTCTGCATCCAGCTGCCTGATTGAAAAAGGTTGAAAACCCCTGCCTAGAGGGCTCACACCCCTGAGGATTTCTCTGCTGTTCCTTCACATGCAGGTGGGTACTAAGCACCTCAGCAAAGGGTAGGTGATACTTTACCTGATCAACACAACTCAATGAAGCAGGTGAGTGGCTGGCAAGTGCCCAGGTGATTTGGACCCTCCATTGTTGCTTCCCAAGCACTGTCCCAATGCACCCTGTTCTCACTCACTCAACAAATCACCACTCTCTTTGGGTTCCAGACAACCAAACACAACTCAAACACTAGATCAGTTGTACACTAATCACACTCGCACACTCAGTTAAACACACCAAGCAAAGAGAAAGAGAGTACAAGACAGAGCAAGTCTCAGCAAGCCCTTCAACCTCCAAGTTCCAGCTCCAACGATGACCACCACCACAAAAGCCACGCCAACCCCTACACTGGACAAGCTTTATAGAGTCTAAATCACACCACCAGGACTCCACTGTCTACA